TGTAGTAGTTTGTAATTATGCTGCAGTCTTGGAACACAAAGCGTCCAGATTTCCCCAGGATCCTTTAAGTCAGTAAAATGACAGATGTTATCAATCATAATCATTAGCAACATTTATTTGACGGTTTATCAAAATTAGTTCAAAATATTAAAAAGGAAAGTATCAAACATGTTAAGTAAAGCCTTGAGAAAATAAAGTAAATGAGTGTGGTTCTGAATGAGAGAAGAAAAGAAAGAATTAAGAAATAAGGACTGATTGCATCAATGATGTACCTTATATAGTTTCAGCTTGAAATATATCTGCTCTTTAAACCTCAGGAAACAGATCAAGGTGAGTATTACAATCCTCTGTACAAACCAATAACTTTTCAAAGAAAAATAAATTTCCCAGTGACTAATGCAAATAATCATGTAAGATTTCATTTTTAAAACTCTTCTGGAACAAATGGACTAACCGAAACGTCAGCCTTCCTGCTCCTCTGATGCTGCTTGGCCTGCTGTGTTCATCCAGCTCTACACCTTGTTATCTCAGATTCTCCAGCATCTGCAGTTACTACTATCTCTGAAGCAAATAAACATAACTCAGTAGGGAACTAACAAACTAAACACAGAAAAGGTATTCCTTAAAATAACTGAAATCCCCTGCCACATAAATATGTTTTGGCAAATTTTTAGCAAATAACTGGCCTTAAGTCTTACATATCTATTGGCGAATGAATAGACTTCCTTCTCCCTGCCCTGCTAGAGTGAATCTTCCAGTGTCCTTCTAAACAAAATCCCTTTCACTCAATGTTCTGAGCATAATCTCCAACACTTCACAAAAATCTTTATTCCTTTGAAGAAAGGAATTCATTCTCACTAGCACTTTGTTATCCTTTTCTTCTAGTTGGCATAGAAGCACCTGCTTTCAGTTGTCTGTCCAAAAACGTTTAGTTGCTGAAAATCTGACAGCAGCAAGAACAGTTGCTTACTCTTTTTATCTTTTATTTCGTATTCAACTTTTTAGAGTTGTTACCACACACCTGGTGCAGGTGAGACTTGAAACCAGGCCTGCTAGTCCAGAGGTAGGAACACGACTACTGCACCACAACAGTCCTAACTGCTTACTCTTTCTCTCTAATTGTTGATGTCCACACTGAATTTCATTCAGGTTTCACTGGGAGCCCTGTTCTAAAGCAACTAGAATGTACGAGGTTGTCATCAGCTGAGTTCAGTACGACTTGACATTTTTGATGAGGTTAAGATGACTGGCAGAGGCATGTGACTTTGGTTTAATCATTAATGAGATGCTGAATGGTCATTTGGCATGTGGGATTAATGATGTAACTGTACAAAAGCAACTACTAGCTGAAGCCCAACTGGACTTCAAACAGGCACTACAACTGGCTTTGTTATTAGAAAATGTGGCAAGTGGAACATATGAGCTACAAGGCAAACCAGTGGAAGTATTCAGCCTTGCCAGGCTGACTGAGCTTGGGGGAGACCACTTGAGGAAAAGAAATTACATCGCCTCACTCAGGACACATCTTCAACAGAGGGACTCTATATTGGCTCATAGCAAAATCCCAAAAGAAAGCCAAGCCTTACCAAATGGTTAATGTTTTCTTTAGGATCCTCACCAGGAAGCTATTGTAATTACTGCTGATATGCAGACTCGAGGCAGCAAAAGAGCCCACTAGGCCTGAATTTAGTAAAAGAACTCAGACTGATTTCCAGGAGAGTGCATGCCCTGGAAAACCCACCTATCTGGCTTGGAACAGTTAAATTGCTTGGGAACATGCAAATCAGAACCAATCAAAATAAATTTTCTGGACACCCTTCCCATCATTGTTGGGAATGAAAGTATTAGACAGTGGATGCAAAAAGATCTGGTCCTGGCAAAACTAAAACAGCTGATGATGATTGGGAAACAAAAGAGCCCTCACAACCAGAAATGAAATCTTTCTTGATCCAGCGAGACCAGGTCACTATAGAGGATAGCGCTGTATTATGGGGAGTAAAAGTAATTGTCCCAAGCAAAGGTTGCCACCAGATACTGGCTGAACTCTATCAGGGACTTGCAGGAGTAAAGGAACCTAAGTGTATATGTCTAGATCATTGAAGCTTTCCACTTTGTGGACAAGGACCTAGAGTTGGAGTTGGCTACAGGCAGGGCTAGGTAGAAGAGGACTTTTCCTTTACGTTAGGCATCCAAAGGAGAACATGACATCAGATCCAGCTAACCCGGATGCAGAGAATAGCACCAGTTAACTTGTTTCCCAAGTTAAATAGAACATACTGCATAGTAGGATGAACGTTCATAATCTTCTGTCTTTCACAAAAGTGCGTGCCAGCATTTTGTCACTGTTACCTCACACTCACAAGGCTGCCATTCATTCTAATTCTGTCATGGATCGCACCACAGCACATGGACTGCAACTGTCACTATTGTATGCATTTTATCCATTCAATGGCTCTCACCTGTCTCATCCTCCCAATCTACTGACCCGTCCAATCTTGGCACTTCCTATTTAATCACTGAGGATACCTCACCATCTCTCCCGCATCACCATTCACTGCTCCATCCACACATTTTCCTCAATTCCTTTCTTTGTCTTATTGTAAGAAATGTTTGTCATAATTAAGCTGAAAGGTCCAAGACCAGTGGAGGTTACTGAAGATCAGACTTCTACTCCTATAATGGAGAAAATCTGGGACTGCACTGAGATTAAGTGGGAGGGAGAGGAAAAAAAATATTTTGAGGCCACATAGGTGGCTCGGGTGACACATTATTGTAGATAATGTTGCACGTTTGTAAATATATTCTCACTTGCACTCTTAAAATGTCTGCTATGGTATCATTTTGACTGTTAGACCTGGTCAAATAGCATTTACGTGAGAGATAATTAGCCACTTCAAACACATCAAGGATGAAAGCAGTTTTTTCATCTCTAATCAGGCTACATATCTCTGATGAGCAACCAACTTCTTGACTGCAGATTGTTTCAGCCATCACAAATCTTAGCAGCATGAAGTTCTGGATTGCAGCCAAGGATTCACAATTTACTGTGGACAGCACAGAGACATCATACGGTGTGCAAGGTTTAAGTCAGGGACTGGCATCCACATATCAAACTCCACCTTGAGTGAGAGTGGAATCAGTGACAGTCCCACACATCTCAGGAGGGAATTCTTAATTGTGTCCATCAGTTTTTCAAGGGAGCACATTATACATCTCCCAATATGAATGGCAATGTGCAATTCACATGTTCTGTCCCTCAGATGACCGTAGTATGATAAGGAAAGCTGCACAAATGGTCTTTTTGACAGTTTATATGCCATTCTCCAGGCTGCTCAAGCATAGACTTTTCAGTCTATGCCCACTCAGCAATATTGAAGGGTTACCAATGATATGAGGTTCAAATAGAGATTCCTCAGGATTCCTCTCAACCTGCTGAACTATCATGGTAGACTTCACTAACTAAGACTCGGATTTGACATTCTGTTGGCAGCTTTAATTAACAGCTACATATTTGTAGCACCATACAAGGTTAGTACACGATTTCACTGCTGCTTTTTTCCTGACATGTAATATGCAGATACTTTAAAGTGGTTTCACTCAAAATTACCATGCATACACTCAGAAGGATAACTAGATATTTATTCAGTGCAGAAAATGTCAAGAACTGCAAAATAATAACATTCACTTGTCCTTTGCATTACGTGGGGACTACTTGCCATATTACCAATAAATCAGTTAAACAATTAAAAGAAGTCCAAAAGCAGCTCATTCACCATGGAAAGTTTCAATAAGAGTCACTCTGGCTATTCATGCTCCATGACACTTTGGTGTGTCATTCTCTCTTGACTGACACTCTTGGTCAATGTCTTGGATGCTTACCTTCATTGTCAGTACATTGCTGTTGATCACCCATTTCTTCTTCTCTAGGATAGCTTCCATTTGTTGAGCCTTTTAGGATTCTAATTCAATGCCATGCCAGAATGATCCAGGCATTAAAACATCATTTGAAGAAAGCGTAGAGTTTTTTGCAATTATCTTAAATGCATTTGATACAAATCACATGTAAAATCTGACTCATTGGGACCAAGAAAGACAGCAATTCATTTGTGAGCACACTTTAGTAATTTATTTTACGTAGCTATCTTACTAAAATATATTTGATAAATCCACACAAACTTGCAACTGCCAATGCCAAATTCACACTTAGGTCACTCTGCACAACTAAAATGCTCACAATTATCAAAATTCACAAATATTACTTTAGTTTAAGATATAACAGTGTGGAACTGGAGGAACACAGCATGCCAGGCAGCATCGGATGAACAGGAAAGTTGATGTTTTGGGTCAGGACCCTTCTTCAGAAATAGGGAGGAGGAAGGGAGCTCAGAAATAAATAGAGAGGAGAGGTGGGGCTGGGGAAGATAAGTGGGATGGTGATAGGTGAATGCAGGTAGGGAGTGGTGGGGATTGGTCAGTGAGGTGGGAGGGGCAGATAGTTGGGAGAGAAAATTGATGGGTGGTGTCAGATCAAGGAGTCGGGGAGGGTTGGACATGGGATGAGGAGATTTTAAAACTGGTGAATTCCACATTTAGGCTATTGAGCTATATGCTCCTGAGGCGGAAAATGAGGTGCTGCTCCTCCAGTTTGCAGGTGGCGTCACTATGACACTGGAGGGGGCCCAGTTGGACATGTCACCAGGGAGTGGGAGTTAAAATCGTTGGCTACCAGAAGGTGTTGTCGTTTGTCATGTACAGAGGGCAGATGCTCTACAAAATGGTCTCCAAACCTCCGATTGGTCTCACTGATGTAGAGGAGGCCACATCTGGAGCAGCGGATACAATAGACCATGTTGACGGATGTCTACCCAAGTAGTTCATCTCCTAAGAACATAAGAAACACACACACAAGAATAGGCTATTTGGCCCACTGGATCTGAAATTTTGACACTGCTTTTTCTTCACTCCTGAGTTTCTCCAGTGATTTTTTTTTTGTTTTTTTTTTGATTTTCGGTTTTCCAACTTTCACAGTTCTTGGTTTTATATAAAATAGGCACTCCTTTGGGAGCAGTTGCATTAGTTGCCTGCCTATTTCTTTCAGGCTTGTCTGTACCCAGGTGGCTGTGGAGAGTCTGTCTACAGGCTTTCTCTGGTATGCACCCAAGGTATTGGAGGGCATTGTGGACAGGTGTAAATAGTAAGTATTGTTTATGTTCATAAGTTTTCTTAGTTTTTTTGGTTTAGTTTGCCATTAGCTTTGGGCCATTTGAAAAAAAAGACTACCATTGTCAAGGGTTATTTTGTTTGATGATAATGGGATTATCAGAAAGTTTATTTTCTCTTGAAAGGAAAAGGCTGAAGCATGACCTAATAAACAGGTCTGGAGGCTCAGAAGTGACCTTATAGAGGTTTACAAAATCGTCAGGGGCGTGGATAGGGTGAATGAGTCCAAAACTTGGAGACATAAGTTTAAGATGAATAGGGGAAAGATTTAAAAGGCATCTAAGGGACAATTTTTTTCACACAGACAGTGGTGCCTGTATTGAATCAGCTGCTAGAGGAAACGGTGGAGGCTGGTACAGTTACAACATTTAAAAGGCATATTGAATAGGAAGAGTTTAGAGGGCTATGGGCTAAACGGGGCTAGATTTATTTAGGATATTTGGTCAGCCTGGACGAGTTGGACCGGAGAGTCTGTTTCCATGCTGTACAGCTCTATGACTCTCAAAAGGTTTGTAGACAGAAAACTTTTACTTTTGAGGAAGAGCTCGAGGTTATGCATGTGACAGTGACCAAAAGAAAGGCAATTTGAAAGAAACTTGTTTACCTAGACGTGAGAATGTGGAACATGGAGTGTGTAAAGCAAATAATATACTGTAGGATAACAAGGTGTCGAGCTGGAGGAACACAGCAGGCCAGACAGCACCAGAGGAGCAGGAAAGCTGACGTTTCGGGTCGGGACCCTTCTTCAGAATATATACCGTAGGCATATTTCAGGGAAGGTGGTTAAGTATATTAAAAGAAAATAAATGGGCGCTGGATTGAATCAAACAGAAAGTGCTCAGCTGATCTGGAAGCGGCAGTGAAAAACACAGCGTTTCAAAGTCCGTTTAATGAAAGGTCGCAGAGACCTGAAATGTTACTTTACGTTTCTCTTTCTACAGATCTGCCAAACTGCTGGGTACTTCCCATTATAATTTCAGGATTCTGAGTACTTTGTTGTTGTACGGATAAGAATTAAATGAGGAAAGGTGGAAGGAAGGGGCTGGAGTGAAGCATGGATTGGTTGGGCCGAATAGCCTGTGGCCGCGCAGACGATTCGAGATGATTAACAAGAAAAGGCAAGTGAGATTGTCAAAGGCGCAGTGCAAAGTTCCCGAACAAAAGGCAAAACGTATTGCAAAAGCCAACGACGATTGCATAACCCTCTCCCACTCCCGAACAATCCCTGGTGTGTGGGCAGCGCTCCACTGGAAGCTGGTGTGTCTTGGAAGAAAAATAAAGTGTGCTAACTAAGTAACTCTGTAACAAGGCTTTGGGCAGGGGAACATACCGTCAGAAGCTCGGACAGCGAGGCGGTGACTGACTGGGAAGTTTTCTTTGGGAAACTCTGTGACCGTTGGGAGTTTGATGATCGGTGACGCTCGAGACACATGACTGGAACTTTCTCTCTCCTCCTGCGGAAAATGGCGGCCTGGAGTTTCCAGGAGAAATGAGGAAAAACTGGTGGAAAAAAAACACTCACAAGTTCAAGGAAGTTTAAATGCAACCATGACGCGCTGGATTCCCAGCAAAAAGGAGAAATATGGAGTGGGTGAGTGACAGTGAGTGACTGTTTCCAGCCAGTCCTGAATAGAAGATCTTGCAGCTAAAACTAATGCTATTTTTTTTGCAGTTTCTTTTTCCTCTTCATTCCGCTTATCCCAACACACGGGGCTCTTTATCTACCTCCTTTCTGACCACAGCCCAGTTCAGGAAATGCTTTAATCTTTCGAATGACTATTTCTTTTACGATATAGTAAATCCTTAGGATGAATTGTTCCTGGAAATCTTTTTCCTCTCTCTACTCTCGTCAAATGAAACAGATTGGGGTTTGGGGCGCGCCTAGTTCTAAGGCCGTGCCCAGTGCGTTTAGTTTTGGGATGTTTTTCAACCGAAGGCCATGAATTCACTCCTAAACTGTAGCCTCACTAATTTGAAATACTTTTGTTAAAATGTTGAACTGTAAATCTGCGAATATCTTAAAATGTCGCAAAGTTAGCTGTAGTTACTCCCACTTCGTCGAACCTTGGGTATAATGGCTAAGTGCATCCACTGTACTTGGCTGCGACTCTTATTGGAATTGCTGTTTATTAAATCTTCACTTTATTAGTAAAGGTATTGGTAATCTGAACTGTAAGCCTTTCAAATTGTTTGTAAGAGGTGTGATTAACTTGCAACATGTGTCATAACATGCTGCAGCACCCACTTATCACTAGGGGGTTACCACTAATGTTTTAAAAACATATTGCAATGTTTGTAAAATAAGCATTTTTCCGTGCACATGCCTAACCTCAGTGGTTTTGTGTACTGAGAATAGACACATTATAATCGTATCACTTAACATGTTGCACATACTGCTTTGAGCATGGCCCCACCAACTTTTGGAAAAGATCCCTATCAATTTATGTCAGTTCATAAATGAAGACTTTCCTGCAAATGTGGTTCATTACCTCAAAACTAAAAGCCTTTTTATTACTAATTGGGTTTTGATTAGCCACACCTATAATCTGTGTTTTATTCATTTTAAGCATTATTTTAGTCCTTTGTTAAAATGTACTGTATTTTGAACTGCCTTTTTATTCCTTCAATCTACTTCATAGTTTTTGTCCTTAGTTTGGCTTCAGTCTTCTAATGCATATTGAAAAGTACAGTATGTACGTATAACATATCTCAGTGTTACTAGTTCAGCTTTAACTTGCAGTTAGGGGAGGAACAGTTTTAAGGATATCTTTTAAAGCACAATTACTGCCCAGAATCCTGTACTAAGTTTCCATTACTGCAATGTTGCAAACTTTTTAAATCATGAATTAGCGAAATAATGACTGGTAACCCAGAGCTCTCGGCTGGTGTCCTGAGGTTCACGGGCTGGAATCCCATCATGGCAGATTATGAAATTTGAATTCAATTTTTTAAAAAAACCTGTAATAAATAAAAGCTAGTCTCGACAATTTTAAAAAAATGAAGATTGCAACTTCTAAAGAGCGTGCATAAATCACTGAAGGTGGCAGAATAGATTGAGAGTGTGCTAAATTTCACTTGGGGAAAGGATCAAGAGACAGAGCACATATATTTAAATAATTGGCAAAAGGAGGAGTGCGGACATAAGGATAAGCTTTTTCATGTAGCTGGCTGCTAGTAATCTTAATTAATAGAGCAACCCCATCATCTTTTCCTAGCTTTGTCTTTTTGACCCTTGAACATATCTTTGAATATTCAGATTCAAGCCTTTCTCATCTTGTAGCAACGTCTTCTATGGCTATCAAAAGAAAATCTCTATTTCTCTTTTGAGCTGACAACATAACTGTTTTGTTGAGATTTGTAAGTGCATTAATATACAGTGATTTTAATGCTGACCTTTTACTGCTTTTGCAGCTCAAGTTTGTAGACACTAACCCTGCCATACTTTCATTATCTTTACTGTAATTAGCAGCTGGAGAATGAAGTTTATGATGAAGAAAATGGCTTTGCACTTAGGATCTTTTTGCTTATCTGCTACTAGAAGTTAGACAAGCAAGCAGTCCGATTTATTAACAGTTGAGAGATCGAGAGATAGATCTGGGTATCATTAGCATGTGTAAGGACTGTGTCTTTTTATTTTGTGATTTTTTTTTTTTAAAACCATGGACAAATGAGAGAACTGTTTTAAAAGCCAGTATTGTGAAAGAGTGGATATAATTTTGGAAAGCAAATAACCTGACACCCATGCCAGGCATCATTGCAAACAACTTTTTGTACAAGCAGTAACTGTAGAGTTACAGACGATTTGGAGCTGAGTGAGTGTACTGATGCAAATTTTGCTGGCAAAAAGAAGTCGGTTAGACCTATAAGAAATTGGAACAGGAGTAGGCTGTTTGGGCCCTCGACCCTGTTTTGCCATTCATGGCTAATCCAACTTTCCTACATTTTCCTGTGCCATTGATTTCCCTACTATCTATCTCAGCCTTAAATATACATAAGGACTCTGCTCCCACAACTATGTGTTAAGGAGTTGCAAAGATTGAGAGAAGAAATTTGTGGTCACCTCAGTCTTAAATTTGTGCCCCTTCTGCCTTCTGGTCTGAGACTCTTCCATGGGGGGAAACGTCCATTTAAAAAAAAAGAGTCCTGCTGAATTCTATATGTTGAAATGAGATCACCGCTCATTCTTCTAAACTTCAATGAGTAGAGCCCCAACCTGCTTAACCTTTGCTCATAAGACACTCCCTCCATGCTGGGATCATCCTAGTGACCCTTCTTTGAACTGCTTCCAATGAAATGATATTAATTAAAAAAAACTGCCCTCCTCTTGTACTCCAATCCTCCTTGAAATAAGGGCCAACATTCCATTAGCCTTCTGAGTACTTGTTGCATCAATGTACTCGCTTTCATTAAAAAAAATCTTCAAGTCGCATTGGTTTGCAGCTTTCTGCACGTTTTCTCCATTAAAATAACGTACTGTTCTTGATTCCAAAATGGGAACAACTTCTCGTTTTTGTGAACTTTTTGGACACTTACTTATCAGTATTGATCGACTGACTAATGGCAATTATTAATGATGGAGACTTTTTGCCTGCCAACAACTGAGATTGATTTGTGGATAACTGAACAGCTTGGAGCTGGGAACAAGTTACAGGGAGAGAGAGGGCAAGAGTGAAATGTTCAGCTTGTCCCCAACTTGGGAGTGGTCTGTTTTCTGCAGTCAAAACTCACTGTAGATTTGAAGAAAACCAATTTATCATGCCTGCAACAATTGTTGTAAGGTGTGATATTTAACTGATAAGTCAGACTTTTTGAGTGGCTGAGAACACAAGGCAACCAGTGAAAGCAATCAGAGAAAGAAGACTGGAGCATATTGATAGCAAGCAGGAAAATCAAGAATCATCTTAACAACAGTACCTGGGACAAAGATGACTTTGTTTTCCTCCTTACTCTGTCCATGAACCCATCCTGTGTGTGTGTGTGTGTGTGTGTGTGTGTGTGTGTGTGTTAGCGTTTTAATTGGAATTATGCTGATAGTTTATAACTGTTTACTTGTAGCTAGAGTCAAGTTAATTGTATTACATCATTTGTCTTGCTTAGTACAGAAATCTGCTCTGTGGTAAATTGGGGGAAATTTTACATACGTTATACACCCTCTAATATTAGTGACAACTTTCGGAATGGCAGGGCTTGATTTCCAAAGTACTACCCCAGTGAGTTGTAACACATATGTAATTGCTGGTGTTTTCTGATCAAAGGGACAGATATATGAGAAATAGTAAGGTGTACAAGGATAGATTCTTTGATTCCAGAATTTGATAGCTGGGAATGGAACCAGCCATGGTGTTAGATGATGGAGAGATATTGGACGAGGATAGTTTGGATAACTGTCGAAGGCTGCTCACGACAAAAAAGATAATGGGGAGTTGGAAAATGCTACATATCCTACTAATGCCGAAAATCTGCAGCAAACACCCAATGCTAGAGAAACATAGAAGGTCTGACAGCGTCTGTGGAAAGAGAAGCAGTTAATGTTTTGAGTCAAAGGGTAGGTTACTTTATCAGTCATGTTGAATGCCATTTATGACCAGTCTTTTTTTTTTTTGGCACACTTGGCAGGGGTGAAGACTTGGTTAGAGGATTTCAGCAGGGAGCTATGAGAATAGTGGGCACAGATTTGAGCAGCAGCAAAATGTATAAGGATTTTTGAAAATAAAGGGAATTTGAAGACCCAGGAAGGCAATGGAAGGGAGGAAAGTTGCAGAGGTAGCTGGTTGGATGTTCTCAATCTTTCATGATAAATAGGTTCAGAAGATCTTAATGCTAATTGTTGGAGGTAAGTTAGAGGGATTTATAACCACAAATCCTGAAGCCAGGAGGTTATACTTGCATTCAAAATGCTTTTGAAGTAAGCAGTTTTAGCTGGAGAAGCTGGACCCAATACTATCTCGTATGTTCCAGCCAAATCTAGCAGTGAATTATTAAATCAGTTTTGTGCCATGTCAGTTCACATTCACATCTTAAGGGAATGGAGTTGAGGCCTATATTGGAGCAATAACCAAAGTGACCCCTTGTAGTGCGAAGCTAGTGTCTCTACCCCTGGACTGGGAGGCCCAGGTCAAGGCCCACTTGCTTCAGAGGTGTGTAATGACATCCCTGAACAGGTTGATCAGAAAAATAGGCTAAAAAATAGATCAAATTGAGAGTTTCATAGTTTTAGTTGCGTTTGTGGCATCATGGATTCAGTGGAGTTGTGCTGATTGAAGGGTCAAAGGCTGGACAGATGGAATTTTGAGAGTGCAGTTGTAAATGAATTGAGGGGAAGTCTTTTTGCAGGTGTGGACACCAAAGGACTTAGGGTTGGAAGGGGAATGCAGGTGGAATTACACAAGGATCCGAGTTGATCAGAGATGGCTTTATCTTAGTCACTTAAAGTCTTCGTGGAAATAGACAAACTGTGTGTTATTTGGAGATCAAGGAAGTGTTTGAGAATGTGGGTTGAAGAGTTTCCATTGTGGCAGAGATTTAGGTGGCTTTAAAAGGAACTGCTTGGGGAGAGAGCATGATGATGGAGGTTAAAATTGCTGAGCATGA